AAAAAAAGAAATTATGCTAGAACTGTAAATATACAATCACATGTTTATATTACTATTTTTTTATGTATTTATTACTGTTTTCAAGGCTCCGCTTTAAAAAATTAAATTGAATAGAGCTGTTTTAAACACTAATATTTTTTGTTTACACTCTTGTATAAAAAATGACAAAATAAATCTAAGTCTAAGTAATTCGGCCCTAGAATAAAATCATTCTATACAGAACGGCACTTCAAATAAGTTAAAGTACCCTGTTCTTATTTTAGGTGAAAAGACTGCGTTCAGTTTGTTTTTCTAAATTCTGTTTTCTAAACACCATAGTTCACTTTTTAGAGTTCTTCTCCCTCAGCTGGGCTCCTTTTTCACCATGAGGCACCAAAATAACCCCCTCCCCACTGCGTCCGTCCGTCTCAAGCTCAGTCCTTCGTCAATCCTGACCAAGACACCACCTCAAAAAGTAGCTTGATGCCTACTTTAGATCCTCCGTCACCGCTGAACACCACCCCTTATGGTGAAAACGTGCACACGTGACCAATGAACCTGTTTGACCCAGTCAGTTAGTCTGAGTGCAAAGATCTGGTCCAAGGTCCCACCATTGGGCCCAGAGCTTAATTGTTCCTCCCAAAACTACGGTTCCACAATAATTCAGAGCTTCCCCTCAATCCAACGTCTTTTTGTTTTCTAGTAAAGTCTAAAACAGCGGTTGAAATGTTGTCCTGAGTTTACAGTCAGACAAAGAGTTAGAAAAAGAGGCGGTCTGTGAGCAGCGATCAGTTAGTAAAGCAAACAAACAGAGGACACGTGTCTGGGGTCGTCCACCCAAACATGTCCAACTGTGTTTATCTGAGACCAAACCAACAGTGTTTGCAGAAACACAGAGTTTGAAACGTGTTATGATGCAACGGCAGCTCAGTGGCTGCGCTGAAAGCTGGTGACCTGAAGCACGTTTATAGTCCTGATCCAACGTTTCTGCAGCAACACAAACATAGCCATCTTATTGTGCAGGAAATGCAGTTTCCTCTGAGCTTTATGAGCTTAGAAAGGTTCATTCACGTGAGATTTCCAGAGGACTTCACCATTGAAATTCACCAGAGCTATAGTGAACCTGACAATGCCCACGTGCATGGCAGCTGGATGCTGGAATACATCGAGTAAAAGTGGAAAAAAAAAAGAGTTATTCCACCTTTCTGATTCCTGATCCTCCAAAACATAAAGCCAGTCACAGTCAGAGAAACAGGACTTCACTGAAAAACCCGTAATATGTAGCCAACATTTGGAAGAAGAATGTTTTCAAGATGACTTGGATAATAGCGCGTTGTGACAAACACCAGATACAGCACTGGGACTTGATCAACAGCCGATACCGCACCGTGACGTCACAAACCGGCTGCTGTTTACCGCCCGCCCAAAAAAAAAGAAAGAAACAGAAATTAAGAAGGTTTGCAGATTGAGCGTCATGTCTGCTAGGAAGTGTGTTGGTGGTGGGCGTGAACGCAGGGAGGATCCATCACTCACCTT